AAATCCTGTTGAAGAGTGCGAGTAAAATCTTTGTAGTTACTGTTAAGTCGTCTACTGTCAGCTCCTCAGCTGGAATGTTGTCTGCTCCTGCTGCTTTACCATTCTTGATTTGTCTGATGGCCATGTCGATCTCTTTAGCTGTTGTTGTAGATAAACATCGACTTGTAGTTCAGTATGTGCTGCTTCCATGTTGCATTAGTTCAGTGGAACAGATCGATTATAAAGTTCTGCAAAAGACTCCACTCTCCTGTTCCGTTGTTGTTGAATGTCAGTGATTTGTTTCCCTTCCTTGATTTTCACTAGTCATTCTGGTTTAGAATATGTATTTCAGCAGTAATTCACATTGACAATTCAACTGACAACTTTCAGTCTTTGGCGTGAGAAACTTTCACTTACAGACTTCTAAATCGATTTCTAACGGTAAATATGTCTAATTCCAATCAATTCGTGTTATTTTTGAGACAATTTTCCATTCTCTCCAATCGAGATCTTTCTCATATTCAATTCTGTTCCATTTACCTATATAAGACCAAAATTTCTGAGTTCCATCATCGTTGGCGAAGTCCTAGTTGTACTTACTAAAGATTTTTAAATACAATGATCATTCTGTTGTATTCTTATAAGCGACTGAAAACGTGTTTTATTTTATAATGTATGGTCACGCACATATATGAATATCTGATAAATATAACTTACTTACTTATGCATGTTATCCCTAATCAAGCATAGTTCGCCGACCAGTATTCTCCAGACTACTCTATCCTGCGCTTCCCTTCCCAGTTTTGTCCATTTTTTGTTCATTCTTCTCTTGTCTATCTCCATTTCTCAACGTAATGTGTTCCTTGGCCTTCATTATTTACTTTGACCTTGAGGGTTCCAAATGAGGGCTTGTCTTGTGATGCAGTTGATGGCCTTCCTCAAGATGTGTCCTATCCACTTTCAGCGCTTCTTCCTAAACTGAAATCTGATTTATCCTCTCCTACACTAGGTTATGGCTGATGATGTCTGATCAACAGATTCGAAGTATCTCGTGTCGATAATTGTTGACAAACACTTGTATCTTCCACAGGATGGTCAATAAGTCACATGAATGGCAACACTGACTTTGCTTAATAGGTAACAGTGTATAACAGTATCAATAAAAGTACAATACTTAACTATTACTGCATCCGCCTATCCATCGATATGTATCGATTGTCCTTGACCTTGATAAGGATTGACAAACTGCTTGACATACATGCATTCACTAGCCTGTCAAATAAATATCCCTATGATCAAGTTACATCACACTAGTTCTACATTTGTTTTTCTCACATGAAAACAATAAACACAGTCATTAAAAGTGATAAAAACATTAACAGTTTCATTCAAAAAAAACATGATTTTTTTTAATGATTGTTTAAAACAAAAAATCAGCAAAACTAGATAAAAATCACTGAAAAGTACTTATAGTTGCATAAAACAATAATGTGTGACTATGTTTTGCATTACGGGGTTGTGAAGATTGTTAAGTTATACATTTTTTGAAACCATGAATCAATCAATGTTAGACCACCATTAGAAGAAACCTGGAAGCACTGACAGACGGCCGTTTCGTCCTGATATGGGACTCATCAGTGGCAGTGCGCATCCACGACTCCTGCACCCCGCAGGATTCGAACTCGGGACCTTCGGTATTGTGCGCGAACGCCTAACCATCGGTCCACTGAGCCGGTATGTTTTACAAAGAAAAAGCTGAAGTTTTGGCACGCAACACCAAAGGTCATGGTTCCGGCTCTTACGAGTAGAGGGAGTCGTGAATGTGCACTGTTGATGAGTCCTATACTAGGATGAAACGGCCTTGCCATGCTTCTAGGTTGCTAATAGTGATCGATTCATGATTTCATGAAAGTAACTCAGCAATCTCTACAACCGTACACTGAAAAAATGATCAATGAATAGGTCAGTTGTTTGATTGATAACAGCTTTATTCCGGTTACATTTTTTAATGATAAATTAACTAGATAAGCAGGAGCTGATGTTTAATTTTGGTTTTGGTGAGAATATATATCTCTCTCTACACCTCAGTATAACTGATCGTCATGCTCGAATTCTTACCTAGTTGATATGCTCATCAACTGATATGCTTGAAACTATTATGAGTTCACCTTAGTCGCTAAACGGGAGCGAAGACACGGAAGGCTACTCTAATTCGAACGTCCTAAGGCCCCATTAAGTAGAGGAAGAAGTCTTGATATGGCATAGAAAGCGTATTCTACAAGCACCCAGAAAATATGAGGTTGACAAGCACAAAAATCCAGCTTATTTATACATAGTAGAATCGTCCTTGGGAGAGCCACAAAAATAGCGTACTAAAATACTACATTACCAATAACAGTGAATGATTTTCCGTGTGGGAAATGTAATCTCAAGGTCAACTGATCAGCCCAAAATTATGACATTTTCCAAGTGAGTTCTGGAGAACTAACGTCCCCAAACATTATCCAGTAAACTACTGAGTGTAAACAACTAGTAAGAATTTTCTCACATGTAAACGTACTTGAAATCAACTGGAATAATATCCCTTATTCAATTAATAACCTGATTGAACAATGAAAAAATCAATGTATCCCATGTAAAAATATTTTAGATAACGAAACGAATCAATATTTACTCACTGAACGACCTCTTTTATTACACTGATCTGTTTTTATTTGAGTAAGATGTAACTGCTGAAAGGCTTTCTGTAAAAGTTTTAATTCACACTTTTAACTAGTAATAGTGTGGTGTACGCTACTTATGTTCACATAAGTAGTATATGGTAATATCAAACGGAAATCAAACGTCTGACAGCAAAAGATCGAGAAGGAAAAAATATGAGAACAGAAGGCGGTTTCTAGGTAACCTAAAGTGAACTGAAGTCTGAACAGTCTAAATGAAAGAACATCGAAATCTGAGATAAATAAGGATTAGTTTGCAAATGATGATTTCACGGGAAGGTTTTGTACATATCCTTAACAACTCTGCAATATTCACTTAAATATTTATATATGTTGATATCCTCACCTGAGTCTTCGTGCACAACAATAATAAGTCAAAATTGCGTAAAATCGTAGTTTGATTGATGTTAGATATGAACACTGTTCGTTGCCGGCTCAGTGGTCATTAACAGGTTAAGCGTTCGTGCAAACGATCGAATGCCAAGGGGTTTGATTCCTAAATGCAAGATCAGATATATTAGTTTGACGTTAAATGACTAGAAATAATCAGTATACTTTTCAAGGAACTGATATTTAATGCGGAATTTGAATCGACTTGACAAAGGCTACAACTGCTGAAATATAAAACAGAATTGAGTAAATATTTCTATCACGTTATACACGATACATTCTATTTAAAACGGATTCATTTATCATTGTATATGGCATGATTTTTAGTCGGTAACATCTTTTGATCTGCTGACTGTTTATTGTAGTGTAAGTAACATAAGAAGTATGAAACTACTTTATATATCTACTGTAAATACATTTAAGTAGTATGTTGGAACGTCAGCAAATGCAGAATTTTCACAACCGACGTCAAGACAGGTTGAGTGAATAGAGAGGAAACTTGGAGAACTATGAAAGATATTATCTAAAAGATACGGGTGTTTATTAAACAGATGTCTGCACTTACTTACTTAATTACTTACTTACTTACTTACTTACTTACTTACTTACTTACTTACTTACTTACTTACTTACTTACTTACTTACTTACTTACTTACTTACTTACTTACTTACTTACTTACTTACTTACTTACTTACTTACTTACTTACTTACTTACTTACTTACTTACTTACTTACTTACTTACTTACTTACTTACTTACTTACTTACTTACTTACTTACTTACTTACTTACTTACTTACTTACTTACTTACTTACTTACTTACTTACTTACTTACTTACTTACTTACTTACTTACTTACTTACTAATTTACATAGGCCTGTTACCCCCAACGGAGCATAGGCCGCCAACCAGTTTTCTCCAACCAACTCTGTCTGTCCTGGGCCTTCTATTCTAGTTCTATCCAATTTTTGTTCATTCTTCTCATGCCTTTCTCTATTTCTCGGCGTAATGTGTTCTTTGGCCTTCCTTTTTTCCTTTTGTCTTGAGGGTTCCATTTGAGGGCTTGTCTCGTGATGCAGTTAGGTGCTTTTCGTAGTGTGTGTCCTATCCACCAACTCCACCGCTTCTTCTTGATTTCCTCCTCCACTGGAATCTCGTTTGTTCTCTCCCACAGTACTTTGATGCTGATAGTGTATGACCAATCATTCCGAAGTATTTTGCGAAAACAACTGTTCATAAATACTTGTATCTTCTGGATGATGCCTTTGGTAGTTCTCCAAGTTTCCGTTCCATACAGTAGAACTGTCTTGACATTTGTATTGAAAATCCTGATTTTGATTTTCGTTCAAAGTTGTTTGGAGTTCCAGATATATTTTTCAATTGTAGAAATGCAGCCCTTGGTTTACCGATCCGCGCCCTCACATCTGCATCGGATCCACCTTTCTCGTCGATGATGCTGCCCAGATATGTAAAGGTGTTAATGTCTACACTAGATACTGTGTATCCACTGGTCAGACACGATCTGTTGTAACAACCTACTGTGATTAAGAACAAAACAGATTCCAAAAGAAGGGAATATTGAGAAAAAGCACTGGAGGTAGAAAGGACATACATTGTGCGAGTCACCCGACTGTATCACAAGGCAAACCTTAACTTGGAAAGGAAAAGGGATAGACGAAGCAACATTATACCGAGAATGGGAGACAGACATGAAAAGAATGAACAGGGATTATGTAGAACTTGGAAAGGAAGGCACAGCACAGATAGAGTAGGTGGCTAATAGCCTATGCTCCTTGATCAGTAACATGCCAAAGTATGTGAGTAAACAGTGTTTTCACATCAAGTGGACCAACTTCCAATCGAAATGACACCTAAGTGAATATTTTTTCAAAAGATAAAGAAACAGCGGTTTGACTTGACATGCATTTTTATTCAGAAAAAAATACATAGATTAGCAGAATACTTCGAAAGTAAATAAAAACACACCTGTTTTTACCATTTATTTCAAATTTATCCAAATCAGTAAAACAACACATGTACCGGTTAATATTCCATTGTAAATGTACTGATTTCCTGAATTCTCATTTTCAATCTCTTCTATTTGTCGGACTAATTCATTTAGTGCATTTCCATAACTAAGATGACTGTAATTATCTGCAATAGATAGATAGAGTGAAGGTAAGGATTTATACTCATTAAATTACTTACGACGATTTCTATCCTGAGTAGAAGAAGTTTCTCTAGCATTTGTATATTGTACTACAAATAACCAAATAATAAACCAGTTCACTAATACTCTCCAAATCATAGTCTTAATGGTTTTAAGAAACGAGAATAATAAGTCATTTTGTTTATATACCCTCACTGGTGACAATCAGTGAACATTGACAACTCAACATACATATATCTATCTATCTATCATTCATCATTGTGCTACACGTAATCATGAAACACATTCAACTACCTGCATTCAAGCAAATAAACAAGTGACTTGTTCTCTCTCTCTTTATTCAGTATTTGATTTCTTAATGATGTGATGAGAATTTCTGTAGTTATATGAAAAAACATGTTTGAAAATAATAAAAAAAAGCCAAAAATTTGTTTATGTGTAAGTTTTGTAAAGATTTGGCATTAGTGATATTGTAACACAGTGTTGAAATGACTATGTATTGTGGTGCGAGCTACTTATAAGTAGTATATGACGTGAGTGAAAACGTAATGTCTGGCAGCAGAAGATGGGTGGGGGAGATCATGAAAGGAAGAGTTAGAACGCAGTGGAATTTGTATGAAACGCATGAATAGTGACTCACGGATTTCCGTCTCCTTGGGTAAGGGTGCCCACTAAGGGCCTTTAAGAACGGAGCTAATCCTCAAAAAACGTTTCATAAAAAGGCCGTGCGTGACCGGCCTGAAGCAGTTGTCCCTTGGGCTCTGCGGTCACGCACCAACACTAATCCATCTTCCTTTTCAGGTCCCTCAAGAAACAACCTTCCACGGTGTGGGCAGCCGGGAAGTGACAACCGCCCTCATACCCGTAACAGCACGCGAACAGTGACAATGGATTGATGTTTTGCAACAGGAACAGTCCAGTTCGATATGATGAACTGATATTTTGTAAATTAACAATATACAATATGGTTTTCCTATTTTACTAAGTAACTCTGTAATTTTCGTTAAATAAAATTCCGTTGCCCCACCTGTGTTCTCGTTCACTACACTAGGACTGAGTAATTTGATTTCAAATAGTAAATAACCTGTGGATGCCACTTCGAGATCTTTCTTTGTGTGAAATTCTTCATTAACGTTGCACGTTGTGGTTCTAGCAGTTCTCTGCGCGTCAATAACTACTGCTAACAATCTACACCCATTGAACCTGTTAGGTTCGTCACTAAGTACGCATGAAGCTATTACGAGTTCAATGAGACAATGAACCAGACTCCAGGTAGGCTACCTTGATATGAAACACCTAAAAAGAAGTCATGATAAGAGTAGAAAGTATATTCTACAAACACCCAGCAAGCACAATACAATCAAACACACAACTCTCGTTTATTTATACATCATAGAAACGTCCTTGGGACAGTCACAAAAATAGCACACTAGAATACACAGCAGCCAATCGCAGCTATGGATTTTCTTGGTGGGAAATGAAATCTCAAGGTCAACTGATCAGCCCATGTTCGGAAACATGAAATCCAAAATAAGGCATTTATCAAGCGAGTTCTGAAGATCTAACATCACCAACAGTCACTCACTCACCGAATATCTCAGTGTATACGTTTTGAAATGTCAAGTAGAAAGGAACAAGTTCAGATCTTAAAGTGGAGAAGTGGCTTAGTCTTTAGGATTGTTATGATGTACGGATGTTTGAGATCTGAACGCGATTGACACTAGTGTTCCCCCCTCCCTACAGGTGATTACTTGAGCGAGAAGATAAGAGTAGAATAGGAAAGTCTACTTGGTTATCGACAAATATGTACATATACTTGTATAAACATGTACCACTGTGGTGTACGCTACTTATGTTCACATAAGTAGTATATGATAATATCAAACGGAAATCAAACGTCTGACAGCAAAAAATCGAGAAGGAAAAAAAATGAGAACAGAAGGCGATTTGTAGGTAAGGGTAAAGTGAACTGAAGTGTCAACAGTCTAAATGTGAAAGAACACTGAAATCTGAAACAAATAAGGATTAGTTTGCAAATGATGATTCATGGGAAGGTTTTGTAAATATGCCTAACAACTCTGTAATACCCACTTAAATATATTGTTAATGTCCTCGCCTGAGTTCTCGAGCACAACACCACTACTTCCTTAGGAAATGAATCCACTTCTCTACCAATCATATGCATTCATCATTTAGGATATTTTGAATTCTCGCTGTAGATTAAAGTCGTCCAATTGTCAATCCTACTTTATCTACTACTGTTCAAACAACTAGACAGTATCGATAGTATGTGATCTGATCTTGTTTCCATTGTATGTTACATTGTAAGGTTTTGGTCTGAAAAAAAATGGCTTAAAATTGTTTTGTATATCTCAAGTTCAACAGCAATCCGTCAAAATCCCTGTTCAACTCAGAATATTTGATGATTGTCGATCACCTCCAACCGAGGAGCATAGGCCGCCGACCGGCATTCTCCAGGTACCTAAATTAATGGTTGTTCTGATTGTCAGAAAAATGAATCGAACCCGTGACCTCCGAAGAAAGTCGGCTTACGTCATGAAATGTCATAACTCTTCTAAATGAAGACCTTCTAACTCTCAGAGCAGAGTTAAAATGGTTTAAATTACTTTTTGATAATTAGCGTTTTTTCAGCGAGTTGCTTTTCTGTGGGATAGATCGACCAAACCTCATGTCCTACCTTCCTCCCTTATTCGGGCATGGGACCAGCAGTAGCCCAAAGGGGTTCAGGCGGATTCACTTAAAATATCCAGGTCAGTATAATTTTTAAAATGTCAGTACCATGTTGATATTATTTGTAATATGATATATCTGAATAAAATTTTTTTTCTGTTTATCAAAACGTAATAGGTTTCAATCAAAAATGTTGTCGAACATGAATGACTAACACACCATTGGATACCAGTTCAAAGATCTAAAAGCTTAAGTTTCCACACATAAGACCGAATGTCTCAAGTTCGATTTTCTACTTACAAGATTGTGGATGCATACAGTTGATGAGTCTCATACGAGGATGCATTGACCGTCCAATGCTTCCAAGTTTCTAATGCTGGTTTGATCAATTCACAACTTCAGTGAAACTCAACAATCCTCATAACCTCGTGATTAATAACGATTAAATGTGTTGTTATAGCGTATGACTGTAGACTTTGTGCTTACCGAAACACAACTAACAGAAATACCTATATACAAGAATTAAACGATTTACGCAAAACAATTAGTCGCTTATATCTCATATCTGTTTTGCCACTGGATCGACTGAACGAATGTCAATGTGTAACCTAACAATCTTCACAAACCCATAATCCAATACGATGGTCCTCATAGTGACTAGCTCCGTGAGAAAATCTTCTCCGAGTCCTAGTG